CCCCAAGATGCTATAATAATCCTTACATTTGATATAGCGTGTTATCACTTCTTCAAAATGTCTCAAAGCACTTCCCAGAGTATACTGTAAAGAATTGACTGTATATTTTGTAGGCAAAATGAGGCAGTTGGGTACAGCAGTGTCCCACAAACAGTCATGGATTAAGTGATCAAATTAATTTTTTGAAAGGATTATTATCCGCCAATCGACTAACAACCAGGTTCCTACTTACAGCTAGGTAAACCAAGGTCTGTGGAGTAAAAAAACATGCCTAAGTTTTGCCCTGCCCGGGAATCAAATTCGGATCTTCTCATTTGCAAGGCAAATGCTCTAATCATTATGCTACAGGATTTCACATAGTCCTGCGTGAAGAGTACAAAATAAATATACATTGTTGTTCTACAAAATTTTATTAAGCTACCATTAAGGAATTCAAAGGGAATAATTGGTACTGTGTCAAACTTGCTCTAGCTTGCAATAATAGGATGATTACAAATGACAGACAAAAAGCAAAATGCATGTAATGGCAAGACATACACCTTACGTCCAGTAAGTATAGCAAAGATTGTTTCACTTTGGAAAACATTCTTGAATTGAAAATGGCAAATTTGGTTGTTTTTGCTGTGGTTTTGTGAACCCACTCAGTCAGCTGAGCTCTATCAGGTAAACATGCAACTGTAGTTGTAGCCTTCCAACCCCAAAGCCCACCCAAACAAAAAAAAATTATTTCAGTCCTTTTGTTTTGCGTTTTGCCCACAAATTCAGTCAATTCACCAAATAGTATATTCTGTGAAGCACCTTGAGACGTCACAAAGAGGTGATAAGGCGCTATATCAAATGCAAGGATTATTATTATTACCTTTTCTGTCAGAATTGCACACATCAATCTTCCAAGAAATAAAAAAAACTGTTCATTACTCCAGTACGCAGATCACAATTGCATTTATATAGTTCCTTTCACATCCAGAAGTGGTCCCAAGGTGCTGGACAGTAAAGGATTTGCATCTCAGTTGTGGGGTTGGATTCAGGAGGGGTGGGAAGATGATCGAATGCTCGGTTCAAGAGAAAAGTCTTGAGACTGAATAATATTTGCACAAACATCATCAATTTAAGGCTTCCATTTGGGCCTTACAGGACAACATACCAAGAGAACTGTGCCAAGACATTTACAAGTTAATCAGTGACAGAAGCATTGATCACTCTGAGGGTCCAGGACCAACAATGTGAATAAAGTATTACATATGGCGTCAGACAGCATCTCTGAATCAGTTTGCGTTGATCTGCTTTGGAGAATGGCCAACTTGCAGTATTTATTCTACTTTACTGAAAGTTACTTCAGCAGCAGAGCTATTAGGTAACATGAGCTCAAAATGTGCAGCAAGGCTCTTGAATTTTTCCAGTTCAGATAGGAACTAAATGATAATTGCGTGGTGCAGTATGCTACAATTCATCTATAAAATACACAGTTCTGTGAAGCTCTTTCAGATGTTCTGAGATGTTGAGTTTTAAGAGGGAGGTTGACAGGCATATGAAAGATACAACAACAACTTGCATTTATAATCACAAGGGGTGGCATCTATGAAGACAGAGGCTTGAAAGGGTATGAGGATAGGGTGAGACAATAGGATTGAATGAACAGCTTGCTAGGAGAGCCTTGCAGAATTAATGGGCCAAATGGCTTCCTCTGTGCTTTAAAGTTTCTTAAGATTCTATAAATAATATAATAATCGTTGCATTTGATATAGCGCTTTTCACATCTTCCAGACATCAATTGCGCACAGTAGTGTCCCACAAACAGTCGTGGATTGAAGTGACCAATTTATTATTGTTTTTGTCTTGAGGGATTATTATCAGGCGTACGGATCAAGGAAACTTACCCAAGGTTTTGCCCTGGCGGGAATCGAACCCAGGTCTCTCTCTTGCAAGGCGAATGCTCTAACCACTGAGCTACAGGACACCACATTTGATTCTATATCAAATGTAAGGATGAGTATTATATGACCATTAAATAATTTAAGAATAGGAAATAGCATAGAAATGATGTCCATCAATCCTCCACTATTTACAAAGAAAATTAAACTTGTAACCGAATACCCCCTCATGCCAGAATAGATCATAGATCAGTTAATCAAATGTGCAATTGTCAGGATCAAGTCCCAACTGTGCTTCAAACCCTCATCTGTTCTCTTACACTTTTAGCTTTCCATCACCTCCAGGACACCACTGATCTCTGCCCTTAGGTTGCTGAGACCCTCATCCACAATTTCATCACATCCAGGCTTGACTGCAATGGTCTACTCTCCAGACTCCCCAGCTGTTCCCCACACAGGGTGCAAACCATCCATAACTGTGCAGCCCATGTACTCTCCCACACCAGGCTCTGTAAACATATGACCCCCATCCTCGCTCAGATCCACTAGCTCCATATCCCCCAGCAGATCAAGTTCAAGATCCTTGTTCTCATCTTCAAATCCTTCCATAGTCTTGCCCCTTTAATACCTTTGAAACCTCCTTCAATCCTACTGACCTCTTCACTCAGCTAACCAGTAGTCTGCTTCATGTCTCCTACCCTATCTGCCTTATCATTGGTGGATGGGCTACCAGCCATTCCCCCCCCCCCCCCCCCCCCCCCCCTCTCAGGAACTCCTTCTGACTCATTTCCCCTTTCCTCCTCTTCAAGACTGGCCTCGATGTACCTCTTTGACTCTGCTTTTGGTCATCTCTCCCCTTCCCTCCCACTTCAGCTCCCAGGCCCAGCTTGGGTACCTAGCTGGCAATATCAAGTGTTTTCAGATCTCGTCCCAACTGAAAGGTGCTCTATAAATGTAAATTGTATTGTAATTGTTTTGTAATACAGTATTATCTAAGCTATTTTTAAAAATGTCATACTCGAGCAACTGAATTATCTAATTAAAGGGCCTCACTTTAGCAGAATGCCGATAAGCTCACATGTTCAAGTACCGGTAGCTAATTAGCAGATATCCTGGCTGTCAACAGATCGGAACGTTAAAAAAACGATGAAAGAATGGCAAGAGAAAGAGCCTGTTTTTAGTGGCTCTGTGTAAATGAATCTCAGTCACATATAGGTGTAACTCAAAGCAATAACTGCAATAAAATCTCAAATCTGTGGCAAAGAATGTATCAAAATTAAATCTGACACTAGTTGTAAATGATGCTCCCAAAGAAATATAGCAGTTGTTTAAACAAGGGACAGAAGCCTCGATCATAAACTTTGTGCAGCCAATATGTAAACATTCTCAACGCTTCAGCTGTTTTTACAGTGTAAACATTGTACCCTTTTTTTTATTTGGCTTAGTTTTGATTGAAATTTATGAATGTTTTGTTCAAACATTCATAAATCAACAACAAACCAAAAGGTAAAGAAAACTCAGAAAGCAACTTATAAAGTGTCACTTTATTTTCAGGGGACTTACTGATCCGTCAATATAATAATAATCATCCTTGCACTTGTTATAGCGCATTATCACGTCTTCCGAGATGTCTCAAAGCGCTTCACAGAATATAAAGTGAATTCACTGTGCATTTTGTGGGATATATTTATATATATCATATATTTATATGTACAATAGTGCTTATATTAGGACCAAACAACTGGTTTAAATTGAATTTGGATATCACTGTGGCTACGTTGGTAATATTCTAACCTCTGAGTCAGAAGGTTATGGGCTCAAGCTATCAAGTCTTCACATCGGGACTTTGGGATCACATTGTCTTGGCTCACACTCCAGTGCAACATCATTAGAGTGCTTAATTGTTAGTGGTGCCGTCCGACATATGACAATTAAACCAATGTCCTCTCTGCCTGCACTGGTGGTGGTTTAAGAGTTTTTCTTGCTGAATTAGCCAATAATCCCCCAGATAAAATTGGTTGTTCATTTCATGGTTGTTTGTGTAACATGTGTACAATTGGCTGCACAAGATAGTCAATTCACTTTACAGTATATTGTGTGAAGCGTTTTGAGACGTCTCAAGGACGTGATAAGGCATTATATCAAATGCAAGGATTATTATTATTATGCTCACCTACAAATATAGTGACTATACTTAACAGCAATATTCATTGATTTGGCGACATAAGGCACGAGATCAAATCAGACCAAGAATTATTTTCAATGCAAATAGTGAACTTTTTCTTTTTAGTTGTTCCAAAACCAGCAAGACTTCCATAAGTTGAACATCCAGCAAACCAGCTGCCCGAGTAGCAAACACAAAAACAGATGGTGAGATTTCACTGTTCTGATTTTAAAAAATCCCCTGAAACTTCACTCTTGAATAGTGCAGTGATTGAAGTTGCAATTAATTATGAATTGGGCAGGAATGGAGCAGATTTTGAACTTTCTCTTCGTCAAAAGACAGATGTTTCAACACACTGAAAAATAAGAGAGTGAAGTTCCAGTTACAGACCCAATATTAATGAGACAGGAGTGATGATCACACACGTTGCTTCCCTGTACACCCACTGATCAATGCTCCATTCCAAAGATGGGACTGACCAATACGTTTTGCATTGGAAACCGGAGGACAAAAACATCTTAAAACACTATTTACCAAAGGTAAACTATTGCATTTTATGTCGGACTCAAACAGCCCCACCCACCCAAAAAAAAACACCAACGTGTCTTGTTTATATTTTCTGAAGAGCTGAACAACGTCCACCAATTATGGAGAGAGCCGTAAGAATCCTGAAAGGGAAAGGCAGAGAGCAGAAGCTTTTCTCCAGACAAGATTAAAAAAAAGAGGGCCACCTTTCAAACAGAACCGAGCTGCGAAGGAAACATTGCTGTGTTGCTGCACATACCCCCCTCCCCCCCCAACCCCATCCGGATGTTTTCCATCACTGTGACTTTCGTGAGTGATTTCACTTCCTTAGCAACGTTTGCATTGTTGTTGTTGAGCAGAGCTCAGAGTTGGAGGTCTCCTCAAGTCGTGGGACCCCCACCACCGCCCCATCCCACCACCACCCCCCACCCTTCGTCTCGATGCCGAAGGAGGCATTGGTCACGATTCGCTACGGCCCCTACAAGGCGTGTTGGGTGGTGGATTTCAGGACATTCCGCCTGGAGGGGCTGCGGGGTAAGAGAGGACTGGATCTGAACCCAGCAACAGTATAATTCTCTGCCAACAGCAATGCCTTCAATCAGTACTTAAACGGTGGGTCCGACCCCCCCCCCTCACTCCCCCCCGTCCCCCGGGTCTATTTTGCGTGACGTTAACCAGAAACCTAATCAAATCCGAAGCCCCGAATGGCCGAGTCTACCCCCGGTACCAGTTACTCTCGATTCGACAGCAAGTTTCCGAAATGTATTTGGGAGAACATTTCTGCCCTGAAACAGAAAGCGCTCGGTGGGTCCCGGGCGCCGGGAGTGCCGGGGCACCGGGGCACCGGGGCACGTTCCTGCAGTTATGGAGAATACGAAGGTTTCGGTACGGAGTAAATAAACCGATTCTCGAGAAAAAGACAACGATGTTGTAAAGATCGCTACTTCCTTCCAGCTTCTGGTGGAGCTTCCAGTTTCTCGTGCATGTACTTGGCTAACTTTTGTTCGCACGCAGACACCAGGGGAAGCTCCTATATTAATTGTTCGAAGTCACTGTGTATATTCCCCCAAAAGAGAGTTGACCAAGTTCGCTTTGCGAGAAAAATCATTGGCCTGAACTTAACAAAAGAAAGTTTAGTGACCTAAACCGTGGCCATATATCCCTTTCAGTTACTGAATACAAACCTGCTCGTAATGAATACGTTTTATTGAAGTGTTTTTAACTGGTATTTTCAATTCAGTGGGACCGAGGATATTCACCAATTTTGATTAACTGTGGATAATCAAATTTCTACTGTATTTGGGTTTTTTTTGCAGTCGATTTCAAATGCAATCATTTTGCATTGTTTGTTACATGTAGTTTCAAATTACTTCTGGTCATTTACCTGCAAATACAGTCACTACGCATTACACTATGTCATGTGAAGCATTTTGAGATATCTTTCCAATGTGTGAGTGCCAGTTAATAATTGAATTGCGGAAGAAAGCAGGTTGGAGTCATTGAAGCTTGGACTGAAGGAGCCGAGCAGATTTGATGAGCAGAGCCCATCAATAATAATAATAATATTTATGTCCAAGCAATCCTGTCATCTCGTACTAAGCGTTTTCTGTTTCAGGGCAGAAATGGTTATTATAATAGTAAGATAACTGAGATTCCACTGCCTAACCAAAATTATATGGAATCATGGAAATACAGTATGAGTAGATGTCTAGAAATTCTTCTCGGCCTTATGATAAATTTCCATCAGCGCTTTTCACCTCGATTCATACAATCCGCATGTGGGCTCAGTTCTGCTCAGCTGTTTTTGATATGGAACTGTAAAGGTTATTTAAATTCTGCATTTCTTGCAACCGACGAAGTAGGGCATAAAAAGGGAGTTCTTCGGAATTGTACTTGAGCGAGGAAAAGCAGAGCGGATACGTAACTCAGTTGGCGGACCATTCCACAACGACTGATTATTCCAAAAAAAAGGGAAATGTTCTATTAACATTCTATTTATCAACAGGATATTTAGAATATTTCCTGGATCGCTTTTCAATTCACAGCTCGCCCTTCAGCCCAGGGCGGGTTGCACATTTGTCAGGAGGGGCTGCTTGTGAGGGGCCAAGCCTTTTTCACTGCTGCTCACCAAAATGGCTTGGCCCCTGCCGAGCAGCCCGACCCAGGGAGCACACTGCACGGAGGCAGCCCCTCCTAACAAATGTACAGCCCCACCCTGGGCCAAAGGCACGGCTGGAATCGGTCTGTCAGTGAATCCACTCACTTGCAAACACAAAAATGTTGACGAAGTGCTCCTGCGAGGCAGAGAAGGCTGCATGAATGAAAAGATCTTTTCGGACCAGGCGAGCTCTCGGAGGAAGACTGGGTCGGATGGTGGTACAAGGCTACTGCTGAGTGGGCTCATGGACGCAACTGGGTCAGAAGTGAGAGATCTGACTGTGGACGTCCTTGAGAAGTGCCCAGATTCAGACCTCGCCAAAAGGCCAACCTTCTGTGCCGTCGACTGGCACCGGGATCTCAAATGGTTCGATCTGAGATTGGAGTTCAGGAGGGGATGGAAGTCCACATCCTCAATGCATTTCAGGCTACAGAACGAGAGCGTGAGCGGTTTGTGCGCTCAACTGGACCCTGTGCATCCTCAACCTGCCTCAACAATCTCACCACATCAGAATCGTAAGAACATCCTTGGATTAAGCAGCTGATACTGAGTACGCCTGGTACAGGGCATTGGACTTGGACCTCAAGAAGCAGCAATGTAGTTCACATGTCACAAACTGTCCTGTAAAGGTCCTATCGCCGCACTGAAGGCAGATGGCTGCCAGAGAGCTGTTGAGGAAACTCTGAGGCCCCAGGAGGACAGCTGCTGGAAGGCGCTACCTGGAGTCCCAAGTTTGTGAACACATGTTAGTATGTCCACTGCCTGGAATCCATTGGCCTGCACAGAGGCAAGCAGTTGCTGCTTAAACTCCACACTTCCAATTGGTGGAATCATCACTCAATGGGAAGGGATGTGTGCCTGAGCTGTGGACAGGAAGATGGTGGAAATACTCACGCATTTCATGCTGAGATGTGTTGCCCACTGGGAAGCTCACAGTGAGTTCCTTGTACCTACCATCCACCTTGTGAGGGCTCAAACTTACGCTTGTCGGATATCGAACGATAAACTAGTGACTATCCTCCTTGGGTGAGAGGTGGGGTGGGGAAGCTAAGCTGGGTCTCCTTGAAGTTGAACTGGCTACAAAGTGACATGCCTGTCAATAAAATTTCAGAATCGAGCCAGTCCTCTGTGGCAGTCTCGATAGTCTGGTTCCTGAGCCAGGCAGTATTCCACTGCTGATGACAGCATAGCCAGCCTGGGTTATGGCAGGACCTGGATGGTTAACCCTGCAAGCCAAAGCCCTAACGTAGGGTAGGGTGGTCTGAGCTGGACAAGCAACGGGAAAGCTTGCCAGAGAGCAATATCATTGACAAGCTATGTGGTTTTAGCTGGTTAAACTCCAGCAGTAGTACCCCAATGCACATTCTGGGGTCCTTGGCTCTTGCCAACCTGTGCCTAATACTTTACGGAATTAGGTAAGCAGGATGCATCCCTCCAGGGAGAGAGTGCACATTCCATTCCAACAATCTATCTCTGGGATTTCCATGCATGGAAATCTCAGCTTGGTTTGGATACGGTTAAGCATGGTGATGGCTTTCTGCATGTGTCGGACACCCGGCTGACCCCCCCAAAATAAAAAATTATTGGGGATCTCAGGGCACATTTGTTTTTTCCTTTGTTTTAGCTGCTCTAGAGGAGGATGGTCACCGCTGCATCCTGGAGCCATTTCTTGACTGGAATACAGTGGAACTGGTTGTGAAAGGAGAGTCTGTTTTCAAATGTAACATTAAAGAATTTGATTTTGGTAAGTAATTCTAAAATATTCAAAAGTCAAAAATGGTTGTGATGGAATACTTCTAAATGTTTTAACTAAATAACTTTTTTTTCAATACAATCTTGTAAAGGATTTGGGGGCAAACACTGACTCTTAAATATCTAAAGTTTTATGAAAAAGTTTACCTAATTCATATTCAATGCATCTCATGAGCAATTGGATTATAAAATATTAGTGAATGATTAAACTGCAACCACTAGGTACCTTATTTTCAAAAGGATATTGTTGTATTATTCAGGATAATTTCTCAGAGCCAGCTGCTCACGTTTTTTCATCCCACAAAATAACAAATAGACAATACAGCACATCAAAGGTCTATGATTTATTTAAATATAAATTCCTATAGCTCCACCAATGGGAAAACTTGATTTCCGATAAACTAATGGAGATATTCATAATGTCCTGTCATCAAGTTGTCCAAGTCCCTGTGTCGATTTCTTATGGAAAATGTCTGAACAATATCGTAATCTATTGGAAGGGACATTCAACAATCAACTTACATTTTTTAAAGTACGGATTCAAAGAATTCATCCAAATTTTCACTTATATGTAATATGTCTGACCACTATACTTACATTGTCGCATTCTATAACAAAATATAAACAGCTAGCAGATAGTTTGGAAAACAAATTTTAAATGTTACTGGATGGAAATAGCACATGTTTCTCTTTGATGTGAAAATATATATTTTTTAATGTTTTTACTTGGCATGTACCTTCTTTACAGGAGGCGATGGACTATTGGATCCACTTTGTGCAAAAGCAGTGATTGCAGTGAGAAATGCCTACTGACTAGTTGATAAGCTGCATTGTCATTTATATTCTCACATTTCCCTCCTACAAGGAAATGAAGTGTTTCTTCCAGCCATCTCATGGCAGGCATTTTGGTATCTGGTCAGAATTTCTTATTTATGCTGATGATTTATACCCTTCTCCAGGGATTAACCACGTAATTGCAACATTTCACTGCTCAGACAATTTTTGCAACTACATTTCTCTGTATTCATTACCAGAAAAATAAAATCCTCCTGCATATGCTATTTCTATATTAGGTTTTGTATTTAAGCACATTTTAAAATTATAATGTATGATAAAAATATTGGACAGTGGTAGGATATTAACAATACCTCGCACTCCTCAAGAAAGAGGTAGAGCTTTTCGATCACCTCTGAAGCAAGTTCAGTGAAGACTGAGGTCTGTTCAAATGATGATAGCTGGGATTTCAACTCAGTCTCTGGAAGGAAGGGCATAAGTGTATAACCAAATCTAATCTGCACTATGGTCAATGTTTATTTTTAACAAATACTTTTATAAACATACATAATAAGGTAATGTTTAAGGACATGGATGTTCTGCCCATTCAGAAAAACCTACAGAATGTCATTCTGTATTCTGGAAGTGTTGATACTGATCATACAGTTGAGATGTTTAAAAAAAAGGAAATCACAGAAATTATTTACAAAAGCAATGAATTTGTGACAGCAAAAATCACATGTATGGGAAAAGAAGTTAGAAATGTTTGTACTAGGCAATCATCACACAAGAATACACACTTGTCGAACAGGGAGAAAAGAATCAATCTCAGAAAGAGTTCAATGAAGTCCAATTCTAAAGTCTAAAAAATCTATCACAGCAGTAAGAGAGGAGCTTCAATTGTACCAGAGAGGCAATGATTAATTTGTTATCCAGTATCAAAAACATAAAAGCTCCTTGAATTGGAATAAAAGCTAAGCACAACATAGTCAAATGGGCCACAGATACTGTTTAGTGCCAGCTTTTCAGCTATGCCTCAGAATAATTTAATTATTTTTATAGATCATTTCCGATCAGAAATATCAGCAAGCTTTTACTTCATGGTAGAATAATTTTAACATTGTCCAGTGAATGTCTTTAATGGAGCAAATGACCTTTCTTTATGGTCTGATATCAAGTTTGCAAACTTCGCAAATTGCAAGAATTGCAAGAATTAGAAATTGTTTTAAATGCAAACTAATTGAATAACACACTGTAAATGTCTCTCTTAAACAAGCTACAAACAACTTATAGCTTCCATATATAATTTTCCCCTGGTTATTGGACGCACTGTCTAATGTCAGTCGGATACTCCTGAACTCATTTTATTCAATATTTTAATAAAATCACCATATTAAGTCAAAGTGAAAAAATGGGTCAAAGAACATAAAACAAGTGCGCATTTTAGTCATAGCTTTTTACATTTTCCTTTTATGTAAAATAATATTTGTATCCAGCTTTCAGGAGCCATCACATGCTGAATTTATATTACTCTAATGAGATATTTAGACTGGTGCTGCAGAGATGCTCCACTGGGATCTTAAAAAGTGCAATGCACCAAATAACAGCTAAAGGACTCTGGTTGATTGATAATGTAGGAGCACTTTACCCAGAGAGAATCTTGCCATCCTTAGAATAGCTGAATTCTCTCCCTCTCCTCAATGCACTGACATACACAAGCACATAGTTTCATAAGACCCCATGAGCAATACATACAGCTAAGTAGCAACAGTATTTCAAACCAATGCTTTGTGCAATGGATTAAAATAATACAGGTCTGTGTCCTTAATTCTTCTCATCAGGTAGAAAATGCTGATCTTGAGCATTCTTAAGATTTAACAGACATGCAACTACTAGTGAATGCCTGAAAATAAATGTTGCAATCAGAATTATATTATTGTTTAATAGGTCATTTTAGTTCAGTTAGAAATGCTTGTGCAATCGTTAGTCTGTATTGGAATGATTTATAGACACTATAAGTCTAATAAGAATCAGCAAAATTGCAGAATTTCGGTCTAAGCATGATTTATGTGATGCGGTAGTTATAATTTTAGATAAAATATTAACAAAAATGATAGTGTGAGCCTTGAAGAATTAAATTGGTTCAGAAGAAAGGTATTTATTGTATTACAGCTGCAGCTTTCTTGTTAGTTGTCAATGCCATGGTCTTGCATTGTTTTGATTGGAGTCACCTTCTGGGTACTGTTCTCAAGGGCAATCCCTGCTTGTTTAAACCAGCCTGAAAACAATTATAAGATGGATGAGAAGATGCAGACACGCACCGACCACCCTGATGTGTCTTAAAAAAAAGGACAATTATAAAAGAAGTATAACTAAGTTGTTCAGTCAGAATTCGTCATATGAGCATTCGGTTCGAGTTATTGAAAGAGCGACTATGTTTTCCGCTCCTCCAGGAAGGCAGAACTTCTACTCGAGGTTCTGTGTCTTAAGCCATTTGGACTCGACCTCAACTGTTCCAAAATTCCAGCAACACAGGAAAAAAATAAAAGACAAGAATAGAAGAACTGCAACGATACGAGAATGCAGCTGCAACTGCTAGAGATTCAACTTTGGTTCTTTGATTCAACGCTCGCGATTATCAGCTCAACAGAACGTTAGGTACAACTGGCTGCACTTCCAAGGTTCAACAGTTGTTAATTCTGCTGTTGGCTGTACTTGTGGCTGTACCTTTGAACAAACCCAAACAAGAGAAGTTCACCTATTTCTTGTGAACTTATTGACTCAGATATTGCCATAACAAAAACATTGCTATACATGAGCATAGGAGCAAATATTATTGGCGTATTGTAACTATGTTATTGAAAGTATACAACTTTTCTGTCTTCAAGTAAACAATCTTTAAAATATAAAATACAAGTGAATTTGGGCGCAGTGGTGAAATATCCATTCCAATGACTCAACTGATTCTTCATACTTTCAGCAAAATTTACTTGTTAAACAACAAATTCTTAGGTTTTAGCAAGACTTAAACAAACTCTTCTGATTATTTATTTGATGAGCTTGATTCCAGTCACTTTAATACACATTTCACACCAAAATAAGAGAATAGAATACTTAATGGCTATGGGAACCTTGTTATGAAAGCAGATTCCGAAGTAAATTTGATCGTCCACAACATATTATTTCTTAAACCTAATTTAATATGCAATTCAGATGAAATTTGAAACTTTTAGGTCTCCAATCCGAATGAACTCATCTCACTAGATTCACAGGCCTCTTTTTCCCTGGCAAATGTACAAACTCAGCCTTGGAAAACTTGGGTTGAGTGTAAAGAGAAATTTTGATTACTTTTCAAGGAACATCAAGTAAACCTCTGCAAACAATTCCCCAAACAGATTTGATGCCCAATTTTTTTCTACAATTTGATCAAATGATGTGCAATAGTCTCCTACTTTGTAAGAGTTGTACTTTGTTAAGGTTTACAGTTAAATGGTACAATCCTAAAATATTTGTAATGTAATTTCTGCCCTAATGTAAGATTTAAATCCAGTTTACGTCAGTAATCTCATAAAATTTGGAAAAATGTGAAAAAATTTGGAAAAATAGAGCATGAACATCTATCTTCGAATTCAAGATCCTCACCCTCACCTACTAGGCCATTCACGGCCTTGCTCCCTCCTACCTCTCCGACCTACTATCCCCCTACCCGCCCGTACCCTCCGTTCCTCTGGCTCCGGTCTGCTCCACATCCCCCGCCCCAACCGCCCTACTATCGGTGGCCGGGCCTTCAGCCTCTCAGCCCCGAGGCTCTGGAACTCTATCCCCCAGTGCCTTCGCCGCCTCCTCCCTTTCCTCCTTCAAGGCCAGTCTCAAGACCTTTCTCTTTGACCGTGCCTTCAGCTCTCCTCTCGACTCTCTACCACCTCCTCGCTCCCTCCCTACCCTCCCCTCACCCTGACCATTTCCCCCCTGCTCGGGTCCTGACCCAACTGTACAGCGCCTTGGGACGTCCTCCCGACGTGAAAGGCGCTCAATAAATGTAATCTTGTTGTTGTTGTTGTATCTCATTGAGGGAGTCTCATTCTGTTTCAGTGGCCGCAGCATAACAGGAACAAGGGAAAATCCATCTTTCAAAATTTAGTTTTACAGCTTAAAAATCTCCAAACTGCGCTGGTGAACTATTTTATTTGTTTCACTTAAGGGTCTCCACAACATTGCCTGACTCCGCCACTGCCTCACCCCGCCGAAACCCTCATAGACACATTCGTCACCTCAAGGCTTGATGATGGAAACTCCCTCCTTGTCGGCCTCCCCAACTCTTCCCTCCACAAGCTGCAGATCATCCAGTGGAGTCCTGGAGCTCAGTGGTTAGAGCGCTCGCCTAGCAAGCGAGACACCCAGGATCAATTCCAGGCAGGGCGAAACCTTGGGCAAGTTTCCTTACTCCACACGCCTAATAATAATCCTTCCAAAACAAAACAATAATAAATTGATCATTTTCAATCCACGACTGTTTGTGGGGACACGATGCTCAATTGGCTGCCGTGTTTTCGCCCACAAATATGCAGCCAATTCACTTTACAGTCTATTCTGTGAAGCGCTTTGAGACGTTGAGAAGACGTGAAAAGCGCTATATCAAATGCAAGGATTATTATGTAACTCTGCAGCTCGTGTCCTTTCCCGCACTAGGCTCCGTGACCCACCCTTGCCTGGCTCCACTGGTTCCCCATTCCCTCAGAGGATCGAGTTCAAAATTCTTCAAGCCCCTCCATGGCCTTGCTTCCTCCTAACTCTTTGACCTGTTACCCCCTTTTCAACCTGTTCGCTCCCTCCGCTCAGCAGGCTCTGGCCTGCCTGCCCGGGCCGCTTCACCATTGGCGGTCGGACCTTCTGCCTCTTCTCTCCCACTCTCTGGAACTCCATCCCACATTCCCTTTGCCTCACTCCCTCGCCTCCTTCAAGTCACGCCTAAAGAATCTGCTCTTCGACCATGCCTTTGGCCACCCTCCTACTCCCACCCTCCACCCTCCCTGATCCCAACCCTCCCCCAACCCCCGCCTCGGGTCCTAATCCCTGACTGTTCAGCACCTTGGGACGTCCTCCCGATGTGAAAGGTGCTTTACAAATATAATTTTGTAATGTATTGTAGAGCCAGCTTCCAGCACTAAAGTACAGCGGACTTCCTCGTCATCAGATTCCAACTAATGTCAATTCCTGCATGCTGGAAGTGATGTTTGTGGAGCTTCCTGTACATAGTCCATAGAAAGAGAATTTGCAGCAGCCTGATAACCCAGAAATCAGACATTTGTTTTGCACTTCACTTAAAAGGTGGCACTCAAATGATATTGGATCCCAATGACTGTACTGTAACAAGGTTTCCCTGTATTCTCAAATAGATTAGGCCGAATTCTCCAGAATTTTCACCCAATTGCTGACCTCCTGCCAAAGACTGATAAAAGTGTGTGAGGCAGAACCCCCCAAATAACATGTACTCAAATCAGGGAGATGAACAGGACTCTTCAAGCTCATAAAGCTATGGCGAGAGAAGCCAAAATATGTCAGGTATTGACACAAAAAGCAACAATTGCAGCACACTTAATAACAAGTTTCTTTCATCTCTAGGTACAAGCCGTACCAGTGCTACAGTACTTTCAAAACAATACATTTGACAACATGCTGCAACCAAATTTTTTAAAAAAATGTAAATCATTTTGATTGTAATTTTTGGAATAAAGGCTCCATGTTAATTTTAAAAAGTATATTTTCAAATTCTGTTGTCACTGTTCTTTTAAACCTAAAATATCATTGAGAATATCATTTTCAACAGTGAAATGTAAATCTACATCAAAAAACAAATTTGATGGAAAATATTCTGACTTTTCATAATTTGTGCACTCCTTTAACCCGTGGTCTTGTTCTGTCAATGTGTGCATCAAGGATAGGATGATATAATGATTGCTACGATACCAGTATATACTGTAAAACAGAATTGGAATGTGGTACCAGACTCAGGAAGAATCTGATACATTTTTAGCTCAAATCACAATAAAAGCCTTCACTGTGTGGTTACAATTTGAATTTAAAAAAATCTATAATGGAATTATTTCCCCTAAATATTCATTTTTAAAGTCTCCTTCAGTAATAAAAAGATCCTTCCACTCGTCTTGCCAATA